GCTGCTATCACATACAGAAAGTCTCCTGTAAAACAACACTGGTACTAACACGTATTTCCCATCCTTCAGTCAGATCCAAAGTTGCCTTCAAAATGTAAATGTGATTGCTAATACACAAGAAGCAGAGAGAGAGGAAGTTACACAGAACTGGCTTCAGGATGTATATACCCAGTGACCCTCTGAGATGCTGTTTGTACTCAGAATACAGAGATTAATTGAAGACATTTAGGATTATATCACAGTCACAATGTTTGCTTGAAAGTATTAGTTGTTCAGTAATTGGCTTCACTTACTTCCTCTATATGTAGGCAACAATATGTTTTTCTTTTCAATCAAGAAGTACCAACAAAAGGATATAAAAGGCATTTTACTATAGTGACAGTAATTACTTTTCATAAGGGGAGTCTTCTGTGTCACAGATCAGGGTCATCACACGCATATTAGCAGTATTTATGCTGAGGAGGATAGAGGCTAATTTCAGCATTACCATGGCAACCAAATGCCCTTTTCCCTATAGCTTTTAATAAGAGATGACAACTGAGGGAATCTTCAAGTGGAAAACAAAACCTTAGTTTCACCAGTTAAGGGAATCTTCCAGAATAACATATATAGAAGCAATAGTGGAACAAAGAATCTGCTGATTTTGTTTTACACAATGATACATACAATCAAGCTCATGCAGCGCCATTATAATCCGCTACACATAAAATTCTGCGTCAAAATTCCAGGTCCTAGAATTTTTGGAAATCATAATTTGCTAAAAGAGCAATTCCATGAAATAAGCCCTATCCAGGAAATACTGCTACTGTAATAAAGTCAGAATGCGTACAAGTTTATTTTTATTTAAAGCTGAAGTTCAGGTATGTTTATTTTTAGACAGTTACATTGGTTCAGCTTGGACCAATGTAAGTAGGTATATGTCATACCTGAAAATTACAAATAAAAACTCAAGCGCTTACTATGGTGAATACAAAAATATAAATACGTTTGATAAGTGAAATGCAAGTGAGAAAAAGAAATCCCCTTTATGAAGTCACGTGATTGGTGACGAAACATGTAGGGGAGGAGCGTGCGGATGACGTCACGACGTTATCATTAATCGAAACAGCAATAATAGTAATCCACACCGCTCCAGGATTGTCATATGTGGAGGCAATTACATATATACATAGGGCCCGTGCTTTGCCTTGCATTACACTTTGTGCAGTGACGTTTTGGAGCCTTGATGGGTCTATGCTGCTGGGGATGATACTGCCCTCTTGTGCATAATTAGTACTCTACTGAATGTTCATCATACCTGGTGCGGTTATGCACCTACTGAATGTGAGTGCATTTCTTATGTTTATTGTGCAATAAACGTTTTTAAAGGATAAAGCACTATGTTGAGCTTTTGTTTATGAGGAATACAGCTGAGATTAAGGTGGTTATCTGGAGGGGGCATCCTGGGAGCCATTATTCAGCAAGTTAATCTACAGAGTCCATATATTTAGGACCAAAAGTGCAGTTAGACCAAAACATTGTAAAATGTGAGGTCACACTCCTGGAGGTGAGCAGATTTATGGTAGAGGATGTTTTGCACTGGAGTTCTGTGACAGCTGCACACAGTGGTCATTATCTTAAGGAGGGTTCACAGAAGAACATTTAATTGATTGGACTTTGTTTATTTATTTAATTATTATTTGTTTGAGTCACATCTCTGTTTTTTTTTGTTTTTCTGTATATTTCACTGGTCTGTGTTTTTGGTTTTTCGTTTTTTTTATAGGAATTTTTCACTTATATTATTATATGTTATACCTGGCCGACCCCTCTGGACGTGAAGAATCACTGTAATAGGCACTGCTATTACAATGATCCTCACGAGCTTGCAGGTCCTATGCCAAGTAGCTGCAGGCACAGGAAGTGCCTGAACAGGGGCTTTCATGGCAGGATCACCAAGGTATTATTTTAATGCACATTGCATATTAAAAAAAATTATTGATTATATGAGATTTTAGTGATTGGAATTACATATAATTTTAATTCCTAGGCAGACAGGCTGCATGGGATCATGGGAAAGTTAACTAAAACCTAAAGGTGAAGCTTAGGTATGGCTGTTTTTTACATCTGTACAATGGTCCAGCCTTGACCAATATGCCATACCTGGCTGATCCCTGTGAAATCTGGAAATTGCTGTAATAGGCACCATGTGTGCAGTGATCCCAGCTACTTTCAGGGTCCTGTGACAAGCAACTGCCCTGCTGTTTAGTGAACTGAAAAGGTTGCTCGCTTGGCCTGGTGTATTCAGAGAACGATTTGCATCTCCTCAAAGATTGCAAAGTGTTCTTTGATTGGATTATGTGGCGAGGTGAGAGGGTGATGTCATAATCTCCACCTTGCTCAAGCAGAGAACACTTTGCATTCATTGCTGGGAAAGGAGAAGTGAGCCAAGCAGCAGGTCATCCACGGCAGTAGGGCAGTGGATGGTGTCAGTAGAGCAGAGGACGGTGTCAGTAGGGCGGTGGATGGTGTCAGTAGAGTAGAGGACAGTGTCTGTAGGGCATGGGACAGTGTCAGTAGAGCAGATGATGGTGTCAGTAGGGCAGTTGACAGTGTCAGTAGAGCAGTGGACGTTGTCAATCAGTAGAGCAGTGGACGGTGTCCGTAGGACAGTGGATGGTGTCAGTAGAACAGATGTTGGTATCGGTAGGGCAGTGGATGGTGTCAGTAAAGCAGATGTTGGTGTCAGTAGGGCAGTGGATGGTGTCAGTAGAACAGATGTTGGTATCGGTAGGGCAGTGGATGGTGTCAGTAGAGCAGATGTCGGTGTCAGTAGGGCAGTGGATGGTGTCAGTAGAGCAGAGGACAGTGTCGGTAGGGCATGGGACAGTGTCAGTAGAGCAGTGGACCGTGTCCGTAGGGCAGTGGATGGTGTCAGTAGAGCAGATGTGGGTGTCAGTAGGGCATGGGACAGTGTTGGTAGAGCAGAGCACAGTGTCAGAAGGACAGTGGATGGTGTCGGTAGGGCATGGGACAGTGTCAGTAGAGCAGTGGATGGTGTTAGTAGAGCAGTGGACAGTGTCAGTCAGTAGAGCAGTGAACAGTGTCAGTAGGGCAGAGGATGGTTGAAAATGAAAGGTTTTTTCTGACTGTGGGTGTGGTTGTCAACATCCCTGTTTTGAAAAAAACAATCACATTGTTTGAAAAAACCCTTTTCCCTTGGGATTTTAAAGGCAATCATATAGCAAACTGTATATATTTTTAAAAACATTTTTTATTAAATTATTTCCAACCTTATAATGACAAAAAGTCAATGAACTTGAAAACAGTTTTGGCATACATTACTTCACATATCCATATTGTTCACAGAAAAAATACCATTCTTTACAGCTCTATTACGAAAATAATTTCCAGAACCATACACGTTAACAATTTCTATGCAGTGGTATCCCCAGCTATTACATGTACAGAACATGTCCAAACTGGCACAACTACCCTACAGTTACCACTGCATAGAAATTGTTAACGTGTATGGTTCTGGAAATTAATTTTGTAATAGAGCTGTAAAGAATGGTATTTTTTTCTGTGAATAATATGGATAAGTGAAGTAATGTATGCCAAAACTTTTTTCAAGTTCATTGACTTTTTGTCATTTTAAGGGTCGGAATAATTTAATAAAAAATGTTTTGTTTTATTAAGTTTTTGTAAGCCTGATTGATGTCCAAATATTAAGTACAAGTATACATGTTAGCCAAATATTTTTAAAGGAATGTACAATATAACGATTAATTATATTATTATTATTTTTTTTTTTTTTAATAATGCTAACAAGTTCACGCACTTATGCAACAGCAGAGCGGGTAGTCCTGGAGCCATTTTTCTTTTTTTTGTTTAAATGTTTTAAAAATTATCTTAGGCCTGAAGTTTACTTAAAACCACAAACAGTGTATATTTTCTGAAATCAGACACCCTAGAGAATAAAATAGTGATAGTTCCAATTTTTATATATCACACAATATCAGCACAATGGTTTTTGAAACACAAAATTCAAGTTAAAAAAACACAAACGTTGATTTTAGGACACATAAACGCAATAAAATTACCCAATTTTTTCGATAAGATATAAAAGATGAGGTTGCACCGAGTAAATAGATACTCAACATGTCAAACCTTATATTATCCATAGGTGACACTTTAGAAGCCCCTTCAGTTCATCATGTTAACTGTGAATAATGGACCTAGAACTCTCACTCCAGTGTTTGTGATGATATACAGTATAACATGTGTAGGGCAGTTGTCATTTTCTCATGTAGGTACCCCAACACATACATTTTGTATGTGTGTCTATGTGGGGGTTGGGGCTGTACAATTTTTTTATTTTATTCTTTATCTGAAAATGTTTAAAATGCCAAAAATTTATAAAATCCAAAACAATTATCTTTGCTTCCTCCTAGCTGCCTGTGTCAGTTAGCTAAGTAGCAGTATGTTTTAGGGCTTTGCTTCTACAAAATGCAGTATCCCGGGGTGAAGATTCTATACCTGTACATATTCATGTGTCAAGTCCCAGAGTACTTTTAAGCACTATCTGGTGACCGGCTGCTCTACAGTTCAATAATCCAATTTAACTTGAATATCTCTGTGGTTAAAAGCTTTTTAATTACCCCATGCCTTCTGCCATAGTATTCTTGTTTAACTCTTTAGGTACTACATTGAGCGTGATCTTCTAGTGATAAATAGCCTTTTTTAAACGGACAGATATTAATATAAATAATGTATACATTGATAGATATAGTAAAATAACATGCTGTGTCTGCCCCCCGATTCAATAATATTTCAGGCCCAATGGATGATCCTAATAAATATTTTATTATATGGGAAGACTTTATGGACCACTCAGCCTTATGTCTTTAGCTTTTGTAACATTGTTAGGTCACAAAGCACTTTTATGGGATAATCTTTCAGTAAAGTAGACATAATTGTTTTGTCCACTTTATTGGCCTGAGACACTGATCATTCACTTCAGGGATTTGGTTTTCTTTTTGTAACAGGCAGCTGCACTACAGAGACAAATCTTTGACTTCCTTGGCTACCAGTGGGCACCAATATTAGCCAATTTCCTGCATATTATGGCAGTCATCTTGGGAATATTTGGCACTCTTCATTACAGATCCAAGTACCTGATATTGGTAAGTTCAACCATTCAAGCTCTTTTATAATGTTAAGTGATGATCAATACTGAGGATCCATTTGCTTAGCTCCTAAATGGGGGATTCTACTTTCAAAATGAAAGGTGTAAGAGAAGCATTGGTGTATTCGATTAATTCTAAGCCATGAACTGCTATCATGGTTAGTGTTAGCAATGCTCTGTACCTATCTCAATATATGTTTTTTTATACAACTGACTTTTTCTATAAGGTTTGATTAAAGTGGTACTAAACATAACCCCTTCATGCCTAAGGGTAAAACAAATCTTAATGCCTAAGCACAATTTTGCAACGTTGACATGTGTTATCAAAACCGTACATATCATCACACCTACTTTGTGCATCCAGGTGGATTATACCTTGTTTTTTTTCAGGACAAATTGGGCTTTCATTTGGTGGTAAATGGTAATGGATATCTTCTGATTTTTTTTTTATTACCAAAGGAAAACTGGCCCAAAATAGTAAAAAAAAAAACTTTTTTAAATGTAGCTGTATATTTCTTGCTACTACCATAACATACCACCAAAGAACAATCCAAAATAATTTCTCCTGCTCCTGATGATTGCAACGATACTACATGTGTGTAGGTTAGTTGTTGTTTGTACCCGTAGTACAGCCCAGAAACCATAGTGCACAATGTGTTTTTTTTTTTTTTTTATTCTGCTACTACCTGAAACTGATACTAATTTAAACATTACAAAATAAACCTGACCCCCCCCCAAAAAAAAAACCTGACCCTGACCTTGACCAAAACATTAACCATGGCACAGTCCTAGATCAAAACTTGATCTGGGTATTTTTGTTTATTTTTATTATTTTTATTTATTTATTTTTTTACACACACTTGTTTCTTTTTCTCTCTGAAAGGACAGAGATAGATACATTGTATCTCTCTCCTCCATTCAGCGAGAGAAAACAAGGGGGGCGGACTTCACAGTGACTGATCACTGCGACAGTCAGTCAGAGGCTATCACAGCAATCAGGTGACCCAGAATTCGGAGTTTTGGGTCCCAATCATTAGAACAGGACCCGGGGCTCTCAGTGACACCCAGTTCTATGTGCTGGGAGTGTGCTGTGTGGCGCACAACCAGCTGAAAGACAGGTACGTAAATTAGCGGCCCCAAGAAAAAAAGCCCAGTTCTGTGAGGCCTCTAATTTGTGTGTGGTCGGCGTCAAGGGGTTAAAGGCTTAAGTTTACCTCTTCCAGAAAATAGCCCATGCAGTCAGAAGGGTCTTGTAGATATTAAAAATGTGTGCAGCTTTGTAAACTATCCATTTGGGTTGGCCCAGAAACCTAGCTTAGAAACTCCCAGTTAGCAACCCACAAACCTAGTTGCTAGGACGTGAAATTAGTTTTCAATCCTGCAATGTTGTGAATGAACATCCAACAGTTTTTATGTCCTAGCAAGAAAATCAGGACATGGAGGTTGTTTGGGGGACCCAAATAGCCTACCCGTAGAGCAATAAAATAAATGATCCTTTCACAAAGTAAATTTTTTACAATCTACTGGGACACCTTGACTGCTAGTAGTAAAAAAACAAAGAGCAGGCATCTGTTTATTGCAGAAGAGCAATAAAGACATAGATGCTGTTTTTTGTGCAATACCAAACACATACCTGCTTGCACAGCTCATTCCCAGTACACTCAGACTGTGCCAAGTGTAGGCTCACGCCCCCCCCCCCCTCCCCCACTCCACTAAGAATTGGCACCTTTCAAAGGGTACCCAATTTTGACAGGTAACCGCTCCCATTTCTGCTGCGATCTAGGCGATTGGAAGTTCTCCCCCCCCCCCCATGCAGTCTTCTGGGACACTTGACAGGTCCCAGAGAACTGCTAGCCATTCACAATGCGCTGGCTCACAGTGGGCACCCAGCTATTAAGCCGTAAGCTGTCACAGTGGGTGACCACACTTACCATGCTGGCGCCAGGGACACAAGACAGATGGTGAACCCAGCTGCGGCGGTGAGGTCACCGCTGAATCCTAGGACAGGTGAGTGGCTGTTTATTAAAAGTCAGCAGCTACAGTAACTGTAGCTGCTGACTTTTATTTTTTTTCACCAAAGACTGGAGCTCCTTTTTAAAAGCCTGGTTAGTAGGCTTTCCTTCTTCTTTAAATTGTATGCCACCACAAAAAAAAAAGAAAACACATATTTAGTAGATGTCTGCAATACATGCACATTTCCCCTTGTTTTATCCCTCTTAAGATGTTGAAAGTACAGAAAAACTATTGATATGTCAGAAATGTAATGTTATGCCGCCTTTCTCTTTGACAACACAGCTCTAAATTCCTAAAAACACGCGGTGTCAGCCCTGCCTACTTCATTTCTGATGAACTACAAAGAACACAAGGGTTTATTTACTAAAACCGGAGAGTTCAAAATCTGATGCAGCTCTGCATAGAAACCAATCATCTTCCAGGTTTTATTGTCAAAGCCTAATTGAAAAAGCTGAAGTTAGAAGCTGATTGGCTACCATACATAGCTGCACCAGATTCTGAGTTCACCAGTTTTAGTAAATCTAACCCACAGATCTATGCTCATCTGCTCCACCTTTCTCATCTCCATAACCCCTACTTGTGTACAGCTAGAGAGCACAGGATGTTATCAGCTCACAAGATTTCTGGCAAAGCACAGATATAACAAAACACTTTTAAAGTGTTACTAAACCCACAACAGTAAAATCAGTCTGTATATGCCTTAAAGCATGCTTGTTATACTCACTGTGTAACCTAAGGAGTTAATCCTCTGCATTGTGTAAAAATGCTGTTTGATCCTGACTTCTATGATCCTCCCCTTCTTCCAGTGTCCCCCTCTTATCTCCTGATAAGACATATGGTGTGGAGACACTGCACATGCTCAGATTGGTGTGTATTGCTGCAGAGGTTTTTTTTTTCTTGGGAGAGTGCATGTGATCAGTACAGGGCCAATCAGCACTGTCCAGGCAGAAGTCAGGGGTTCTGCATCCTCCTAGAGAAAACTCCTCCTACAAGCTTTAACCAGTTCTCTGCTGAACACTGATAGAAGTCACTAGACTGCTCTAACTGCTGATAAGAAAATATATTTAACAGTTTATATTTACTAAAATAATTGTATTTCTATGTTCTGTGGACTGTGGGAGACTAGATATAGTGAATGCAGGGTCCTGAGTTTAGTGGGTGCAAAGCCAACATAAACTAAGTTAGGGAGCTGCCCCTTTAAGTGCAAATTTACTCTCACAACATGTAAAAATGAAATAAAGGTAGGCACTCGCCAAAACTCAATAAATAATTCCGTGCAGTAATAATGATAAATAAATACCAACATGCATATAAAATAAACAGTAGATAGTGCTAATAAATGTCCATGAGTACATTCAAGTGTTCATAGAAGATCCTCACAAACCATGTGTCTATTAACGTAGCCAAATCTTCTTCCACAATTCATCAGTGAAAAGAAAGTGAAACTGATTTGTACAGACACAGTGCTGCAAAGAGGAACAGAAGGACAGGGAGATGGTCTGCAGGAACCACTGGCTAAGGAACATTCCCCCTGTCCATTAATGACCATTCTTGGGATTTCTTTCTGAGATATGTTATTATGGAGAAGATTGACTAATAGCATATGAAGTGGATGGGATTTAAAATCCTGGGAAGGATAGAGTAGACATCTAACCCGATATATATAAGATCATTTATGCTCGTGGGCTACTTTATTGGCCAATACCATTTGGTGAGTGTGCATTTTTTTCTGGGCACGGTGGTGGAGCACTGGTGAGTTGTGGAAGAAGATTTGGCTTAATAGTTAATAGACATGTGTGTGAGGATCTTCTATGAACACTTGAATGTACTCGAGGACATTGATTAGCACTATCTACTGTTTATTTGATATGAATGTTCTCCTTATTACTGCACAGAATTATTTATTGAGTTTTGCCAAGCACCTACCTTTTATTTAATTTTGAGTTATTTTAGGTTTACTTGTAAGTAAGAGTAAAAAAGGTAGGTTTACTACCACTTAACTGCCTCCTGCCCCCCATATAAGGAAATGACGGGCGCAAGGCAGTTCTCTCGTTCTGGGAGGACGTCATATGACGTCCTCCCACTCTAACCGCGCATGCGCGCCCCGGAGGTGCGCTGTATCCCTGGGACACAGCGGATCACCGATCAGCGGAAAGAGCCGATGACTTCAGCTCTGTCATGTGATCAGCTGTGTTCAATCACAGCTGATCGCATGTAAATAAGGAAATGCTGGTTATCAGCAGTCATCTCCTCATGAGCTGTCAGCTGACAGCTCGTGAGGAGAGGAGAGCCGGTAATCGGCATTACTCAGAGGGGACATCTAAACTGATGCCCTGATAATCAGTATAGCCACATCAATTCCACTTGTCAGTGTCCATCAATGCCACCTGTCATTGTCCATCAATGCCACCTGTCAGTGCCCATCAGCGCACATCAATGCCACATATCAGTGCCTACCAGTGCACATCAATGCTACATATCAGTGCCCATCTGAGCTGCCTTTCAGTGCCAACTGTCAGTGCTAGTCAGTGCCACCTATCAGTGTCAGTCAGTGCTGCCTATGAGTGCTGTGAATCAGTGCCAGTCAGTGCCACCTAACAGTTCCAGCCAGTGCCACCTAACAGTACCAGTCAGTGCCGCCTATCAGTGCCAGTCAGTGCTGTCTATCAGTGCCGTCTATCAATGCCGCCTATCAGTGCCATATATGAGTTCTGCCTATCAGTGCCCATCAGTGATGTCTGTGAATGCCCACAAGTGATGCCTGTCAATGCCCATTAGTGCCACCTACAAGGGCCTCCTCATCAGTGCCGCCTATCAGTGCCCATCAGTGGAGCCTATCAGTGCCCATCACTGCAGCCTCATTAGCGTACATCAGTGAAGGAGAAAAATTACTCATTTACAAAATTTTGTAACAGTAACTAAGAAAAAAACATTTTTTTTCAAAATGTTCAATTGTTTTTGGTTTGTTTGACAAAAAATAAAAAA